TACTCTGACGACAGTTAAGAGTTCAGAGAACACATGTAAACCTCTCCTCCCCACCCCAGATATTAATAAGTAATGATCAACAATAAAAAAACTCAACTCTTAGCTCTGACTTATTAATAAGTAATGATCAACAATAAAAAAACTCAACTCTTAACTCTGACGGCAGGTAAGTGTTCAGAGAACAAATGGACCCACCTCTCTTCCCCAGAAATGAATAAATAATGATCAACAATAAAAAAACTGAGCTCTTAACTCTGACAGCAGGTAAGAGTTCAGAGAACACATGCAACCCCCCCCCCCTTACCGCCCCAGAAATAAATAAATAATGATGAACAATAAAAATACTAGACTCTTAACTCTGACGGCAGGTAAGAGTTCAGAGAACACATGCAACCCCCCCCCCCTTACCGCCCCAGAAATAAATAAATAATGATGAACAATAAAAATACTAGACTCTTAACTCTGACGGCAGGTAAGAGTTCAGAGAACACATGCAACCCCCCCCCCCTTACCGCCCCAGAAATAAATAAATAATGATGAACAATAAAAATACTAGACTCTTAACTCTGACGGCAGGTAAGAGTTCAGAGAACACATGTAAACTCCCACTCCACCTCCCCAGCAAGGAATAAATAATAATCAACAATAAAAAAACAGAATTCTTTACTCTGACGACAGTTAAGAGTTCAGAGAACACATGTAAACCTCTCCTCCCCACCCCAGATATTAATAAGTAATGATCAACAATAAAAAAACTCAACTCTTAACTCTGACGGCAGGTAAGTGTTCAGAGAATAAATGGACTCCCCTCCCTTCCCCATAAATAAATAAATAATGATCAACAATAAAAAAACTGAACTCTTAACTCTGACGGCAGGTAAGAGTTCAGAGAACACATGTAAACCTCTCCTCCCCACCCCAGATATTAATAAGTAATGATCAACAATAAAAAAACTCAACTCTTAACTCTGACGGCAGGTAAGTGTTCAGAGAATAAATGGACTCCCCTCCCTTCCCCATAAATAAATAAATAATGATCAACAATAAAAAAACTGAACTCTTAACTCTGACGGCAGGTAAGAGTTCAGAGAACACATGTAAACCCCCCCGGCCCCTCCCCAGAATCCGACATAGCCCCAACTCTGACCGAACTCTGAACTTTCTCTGAAATATTGGAAATATTCAAGTTTTACGCACCTCTGACGCAACTCTGAAGTCGGTCCGTCAGGGTACGTCTCTTAGAATTCGAGAAAATAATTTTTTACTGTTGGCGGAAAGGATCGATATCATGCATTATTGATCCCGGCCGGTAGGACAAGTTTATGGGTCGATGCATGGTATCGACGCCGTACGTGAGGAGTTAATAGAGAACATCGATTTTCGATGCCCAAACATCTATGTTTTCCATTCGATACGTTCAACGGCGGATTAATCGATTTTCGATTCTTTTTGTCAAATATCGATGTTTTTGACCAAGCTAACAAAATTCTTCATTTTTTTAATCGAATAAAGTTGATTGATTGAGAATAAAAAAATTAATAATTAGTAGTGAAGCAGTAAACCGATTTAAGTCGGCTTAGTTCTTCGCTGAGTTAGTAGAATATCTCCGAATCTAAGAGAAATAGCGAAATTTTCATTATAACTTTTTTTGTAGCTCTCAATTCCCTCCACAAAAAAGGTGATGATGAAAAATTTGCTATCTCTTTTAGGTTCCGAGATATGCATTAAAAACTGACCAATAGTCTAAATCGACTTAAACCGGTTTACCGCTTTGTTACTGAATTCATCCGCAATCAGAAATAATTATTTTCTACAGTATACGTTATAAATAGTAAGTGGACAAGTCCGGTCCTCTATTATTTGTCCATTTGGAAATTTTTCAATTTTTTGTTTGAAATTTTGAATTTTCAACAGCTATTGCAGCTAATGTCCAGCCACGGAAAATATTCAATATATTTTTTTCAATTAATCAACAAACCTGTTTCAAGATTCAAAATCTAAGTCTTCAGCAGTACTTATCATTGAAACGGAAGTTCCTCGGGTTGTATTTTTTAAATATACATTTTTCAATAAAAACGAGAAGAAAAAAAATTATTTTCGAAAAATTGTTTTTTTTCCTGTGTCATGAGAAAAAACATCGATTTTTTAAGGGGAGACTACTATGAGTTTTAAAAGTCGTGGGTTATTGGAGTCAGATTTTTCATACGTTGAAGTCGATTATATAGATCTGAAAACGAATAATTAGTGCAAAAAAATTTATTTTTATTGTTCGTTTGCCGAAAACGCTTAAAATGCTAAAAACAGTCCAGGGCCTCCAATTTTTAAGCTGCAAAAGATTTTTTTTTCAAAATTTCCGGAAAAATGTGTGAAACAACAATTACGAGCCAGTTTTTTGGAATTCGACTCCTACACAGCTGATTGCGGTTTTTTTTAAATAAAAAAATTCACTATTTGTGTAAAAAGATACGAAAAAAGTAAATTTAGCCATGTAAGAGGCGAATTTTTAAAAAACTAGCTCGTAGTTGTTATTCCACATATTTTTCCGAAAATTTTGAAAAAAAAAATCCTCCGTAGCTTAAAAATTGAAGGCCCTGGACTGTTTTTGGCATTTTAAGCAATTTCGGGCAAACGAACAATAAACAAATTTTTTTTTGCACTGATTATTCGTTTTCAGATCTATATAATCGATCTTTAACGTATGAAAAGTCTCACTCCAATAACCCACGACTTTTAAAACTCACAGTAGTCCCTCCTTTAAAAAACCTCCATTCTTCGATAATCGATGTTTTTTAAAACATCACCTATCCTTAACTGTTGGCCCTACCCTCTATTCTGCTCCTCAACGCTCAAACTTTAGTGATTTATAGAGAGGAAATATCTGATCGTTTGACATTTTCAGATTTCCAAAACAATAAACCATTTTCACAACAATCAACGATGTTTTTAACAATCAATCATTTTCTGGGGATGTTGAAATAAATATCAATGGAATGATTTTATTTGTTGTAAGCACAATTAAATTTTTATTCAATTTCCTCATTCAACTTGAAATAATAAAAAAGGGTGAGAAAGGTAAAAGAACGAGGAATGAATGAATCTTCATTTCTTTTTAATAGTACCAGATGATATAATTTATTGCACTGAGCCTGAAAATTAGTCTTTGTCTGTTCGTTTCTCTCATTCCAGTTGGAATTGAAGGAGAGAGTGATTTTGCACAATGAAATTTTCATTCTTCTTGTAATGAACACTTGAATTCTTTGATCTACAAAGTTGACATCGTCATTCAACGACGCAGGACGTCGACACTAAATTTAAGTAATTTATATACACAGTACAATATTGATCGCAAGCCTCGCGTCGATTTTTTTTTATTTTGCAAAGTGAAAGCTCCACAATTGATTTTTCTCATTTTTCATAAAATTCACCGAACAAATTGTCACGTAAAATCTCACAGACTCTCACTCATTTTTACTCACAATTAAACCATGTTTCATCTCCTAGGGTAATAAAATTAATTGTAAATCGGACTATCTATTCGTTAATAGACGGAATGTAACTACTTAAAAGATAATCAATCAATTCAATTCACCTTTTCGCTTCTTCCGGTTTCTCTTCTTAAACTCTGATGGGAGTAAAAAATAACGGGACAATGAAAACATTTGTCTTCATCTGCAAAGGAGATGGTAAAGGAAATGGAAGGACAATGCGAAGGGCGATATTATTTGTACAATATTTACAGGCGCGACCGTGCAATTAAAATTAATTACTCATTCAATAATAATCGAATAGTATATGAAAAAAATGTGTTTTGCACACATCCACTAACGGCCGACATTGGCTTAATTCAATTCACCTAATTAGAGAGCTTTACAATCGAATAAAAACAATCTCAACTAAAGCATAACAAATTAAACTTTTAAAAAATCTTAATAGGCCCAAAAAATAGGGGAGGGTGGGGCAAAATGAAATAGCCGCAAAACGACTATTTGACGCAATTCAAGCAAAATTAACTTTTTTTATTATTGGGAGTACTGATGAGAATAATCATGTTTTATTCATCTTATAATTCAATTTATTAGATTAGGCAGATTATACTTTTTTTTTTCATTCGATTGAAATTCCGTATCACATTTTCCTTTCTCCCAATTCAAGTCTCTACCTGGGCTTTTCTCTGGACTTTGGATTTTGTTTCATTTTCTTTTCAATTAATACATTGACAAAATCTTCTCCCATCAAAACATCGCAATAATTGTTCATTCTACTGAATGGAAAATTATTATTCTGATCAGTACTCCCAATAATTAAAAAAAAAGTTGATAAACAAAAATTAATAGAAAAAAAAATTTTTTTGCTTGAATTGCGTAAAACAGTCGTATTTTCGACAGTTTCATTTTGCCCCACTCTCACCCTATAATAAGAATTTTCTAGAAAAGAATTATTTATTTTTTCAAGTCCTTTTCGAACCTAGGTTATACCGACTCCTCTAGAACAACCTTTTCAAAGAGGAATTAACGAATAATTGTTGATAAAATAGAACGCGGCAGTCGCTGATATGCACCGGAGTTTAAATTCCTTTTGTTCATTAATAAAACAGACTTTGGGTTGATTTTTCACTTATTTAAGTACACGCCATATGTTTTCAAGCTACTAGGAGGCCGAGCTGTACCAGCCATTGGCGGTAGCCTTGTTGCTAGGATGGTAGAGATGAAATCCAGGGCCAGCAGCTGGATGATGATAGAACTGAGGTTGTTCACTGAGGCCAGCGGAGGCTGCGTAAGCAGCAGCGGCATCAAGCGCACTAGGATGAACAGCAGCTGAGTATACCTGTGGTTTTAAGGGCAGCGGTTGAGCGGGTTCGTACTGATGTCTGAGAACAGGATCTCCATAGACTGGAGCTTCGTAGTTGCTGACTACACTTGAAGAATGCAGTTGAGCTTGTTGTTGCTGCTGTTGTTGCTGTTGCTGGTGAGCCTGTTGCTGCTGCTGTTTGTCTCTCGGTGATACTGAAGACGGTGGAGTCATTGTCGAGTGATAGTCCACTCCATAGCCACCTGCTGACGAGTACGAAGATACCAGACTGGGAAAAGCTTCAGTTCCACTCGTACCTGTCGCTGATTTCTGATTGTGACTAAGAACAAACTGATGCTCTCCGTACGTTGATGAGCCCTCTGAGCCCGGTGGAGTTGGTAGTGGACCTTGAGGTGTTTCTCCTGAGTAGTAAACGCCCCCTGATGTCGGAGTTCTGCTCGTACTCGAACTCATTCCGTGGACATTTCTAATTACACTCTCTCGATTGACGTAGAGTTGGCGGAGGAGGGCTGACGCTGGGTGGGGAGCTGCGGATGACTGCTGGGGGCTGAGATGCCCCAGGTGATGATGAGCACCTATCCACTGGATCGTAGACTTTTGCTGCTGCTGCTTCAACAGAGCATCTGTACTGAAATCAGTTGGTTGATGGAGAGCAGGAGATTCGGGCTTGCTCAGTGATGCTCCTGGAAGGTGTTTCGACATTGCCTGTTCTAAATCCTTTACGGAGGTTCCTCCATGAACTTCATCTCTAGTTTCAGTTCTTCGTACTTTTGGACTCGATGATCCCAGCACTTGGTCAGTAGGTATCGAATGATTCGATGAGGCTGGACTCAAAGCGTGATTTCTCGGGGTTTTTACAGTCTCTTCCTCATCATCTTCTTCTCCAGATGAACTGTCATCCTCCTGCGGAAATTTCCGTTTGTGACGGGTCAATGACTTTACTGATAAACTGCCCAAGTTTGTCACGGTTGCCTGCGGTTCCTGTTGAAGTTGAGCTACATTGTCATGGTGACGACCACCACGGGTCTCACCTTCTGAGTTTCTACTGTCCTCTCGATCTTCAGGAGGCGAATGATGGGGATTCTCTGGGTGGGAATTCGAAGGACCACCACTGTTTCTGCCCTCTGAAAGATGGAGACAAATTGCTTCATTATTTACATCAACACTTGCTGTTTAAAACTCTTCGAAATCCTCTCTTGAAGGCGGAAGAGAAAAATCGTCTCCAAATTTGTTCGAATAGACTCACTAGGTCAGAAAAAAAAGTCTACGTTACAAATAGACCCTTTCAAATGTTCTGAGAAACCCTGAAAAATATATTCATGTTTGATCTATTCATTTTTCGTTAGTTTCACATTTTTTTAAAAATTGGACACATCGCGGGTATCGAATCTTCGGTCTTCTCCTTCATATGATGTTTCATATGTTAATTTGGCTCCAAATAAGACGCATAGACGGCCACCCACGTGAGTCTCTGTCTTTTTTTCTTATATACATTTTTTTTTGTATTCGATGGCGAAAAATCAAATGGTCTCTTTTTTCTTATTTAAGTGAGCTCTAACGGCTACTTCATGGCACATTAGATGGTGCCCTGTGCTTCTATTATTCTGTTACAAGCGAGAACTATTTTTCGAGAGCGTGTCCAAGCCGGAATGCCGCTCGAGTTTACTCGGTTTCTTGCTACTGAGACGCGTTTGACACGCGATCGATCGTTCTCCTCGTGTATGACGAAAAAATAGGGAGAGAGAAAGGGAAGCTGTTTGAATATGTGCCAGTCATGGCTTGCTATGGAATTGCCTCATTGTGGAAGTTTTTTCCATTGTTCGATTTAAACAATTATATATGTTTACCTCCTCTATCAGCATCCGGGGAACCGTTTTCGGGGTCGTTTCCCGCTGCATCTTCACGTTTTACACCGGAAACACCGTCCTCCAATTGACAACAGTCCATTATCAAATTCTCGTATTCTCTTCCACTGGAAAAGGAATGCACAATTAAAATCTGTACTTCGTCAAGTTTATACTGTTAACTCTTCCAAAAACATACAATTTTTTTTAGAACTTGGAAGTAATTCGTAGGGTAATCGAAGTAGACGACGGGTTCATGTTTCTACATTCGAGACTATCAATAAAAGGGAGTAAGGCCATATAGAGACTTTTGATTTGTCAAACAATATTCAGCAGTAATACCCCAAGAGCTTCAAAATTATCGGGTATTTCCCGATAGCTTCGTTGCAAACAAATGAGGGTGTCAAGTTTTGCAGGTTCAAAAATTTTTCAGGATTTTTCTGTAAAACTTGGCACGATGGTTTATTTGCAGGGGAGCTTGAGGGAAATACCCGATTAATTTTGAATTTCGAGGGGTATTTGTCGGATTTTTCCCAATCGGATTTTGGCCAAGCAGAGTGCAGTGGACAATATCAGGAGGTGAATTGGGGAAGATTTGAACAAATTATATTAAGAGAATAATCCGATTTCCATAGACCGTCAAGTATAAGATTCTATCTGAAATGAGCCAAAAAAATGAAGAGCTACTGCGAAATATTCAGGTAAAAAAAATGAAGAACTACTGCGAAATATTCAAAAGCTAGGAGGAAATATCCGAAATAAAACTGTCGGGTAGCCTTAAATACTGCGTTCTGATTGGTCGAAATCCGATTGGGAAAAATAATCAACTAAATAAAATCATTGTAGGGTAAACAGGTAAATTTCTGGACGGGAATTAGTTTCTGGAAGATTTCAACTTGCATTGAATATTCCGTAAATAAAATGAAAATTATACTGATTATTTCACCTTTCAATAATATTACTCGTGTATAATCATGTGATCAATTATTTTTTCTATTGATTGACATTCAATAAATAAATAAAAATATGGGCCAGTCGTCCACAAAATTAGGGGTTTCGGCTGGATTCCACTATTTCTTAATTCAATTATTCTTTGTTTTGTTATTTTCATTTCAAATAATTTTTTTCTGCTAATTCAATCATGCTTGAAGGTATGGAAGCCATCATATCCCCATTTAGGTGATTCTTTTAGTTTAGATACTATCACGAAACTTGAATTTCCCTTAACCGTCCAGCAATAGGCCTGTTCACCCTACTCAGTTTATGGATGTATTACCCCCTTATCGCCAAAATTCACGTGATTGACGTGAAAAAATATACCGTTTTTGCGTTTTATCATCATTTAATGACTCACAGAATTTCATGATCGTGCAATCATTTTCCAGCGTTTTTTCGAAAACTTTTCGGAAATTCACAAAACTTTAGAAAAAATGCAGGAAAATGATTGCACTACCATGAAACTTCGTGAGTCAGTCAATAATGATAAAACGCAAAAACGGTATATTATTTCGCGTCAATCCGATCAATAATTTACCAGAAAAATGAAAACAAAAAAGTAAATTTTGGCCGAAAGGGTCTAGTACATCCTTAAGGAAAGGCTTCTATGCGTTTTAAAAGTTGCGGGCTATTGGAATAAGATTTCTCATGCATTGAAATTCGATTATATATGTCTAAAACTGAATAATTAGTGCAAAACAATGATTGTTTATTCTTTGCCCCGCAAACGCTTAAAATATTAAAAATAGTCCAGGGCCTCCAATTTTTAAGCTACAGAGATGTGGGCAATAACAATTACGAATTAGGTTTTTGAAATTCGACTTCAACACCGCTAATTTCATTTTTTTTCACATAAACAATTGCACCATTTATGTAAAATAATCCAAAAATGTTTCTGAAAGAATCGAGAATATATTTTAAATATTTTAAGGATATTTTTTTGCCTATTTTACATTAATGGCGCAACTTTTTATATTAGAAGTCGAATATAGTAGGAGTCGAATTTCAAAAAATTAAATCGTAATTGTTATTGTTCAATTTTTTCAAAAATTTTGAAAGAAAAAACTTTGGTAGTTCAAAAATTACAAGTCCTGGACTACTTTCAACATTTTAAGCGTGTGCGGGGCAAACGAAAAATAAGCAATCAATTTTTTGACATTAATTATTCGTTTTAAGGCATATATAATGAATCTTCAATGCATGATAAATATATCTCACTCTAGTTGCCCGCAACTTTAAAAACTCGTAGCAGTCTCCCCTTAAACTCATTACAAAGAGGAAGAAATGTACTCGTTGTCGGATAAAAGTGAAATTATGTCAATCATTAAATGGGTTATCCAACAACGTCAAAAGTATTCATTTTGCCCTACTATCCCCTAACTAGCCCCCTGACACTCGAGGCGTAGTCTGTTCTTTCACCGTTATCGCTACTACGTGGTGCTGGGTGTCATTTGCTTGAGCAACTCGCGGCTGTTCAATTACTTCTTCGGTCTCTTCCGTTCGATCGTGACAACGTTTGATGTTCCTGATTACATCCGACCTATTTTCGAAGGTGTTCTTCAAAATTTTATCTTCAAGTAATTCACAATGTATTGATTTTCGTGTTTTCATTGCCCGAGCGGGAGTCTCGCACGGGACGATTAAATCTGCTCAGGTTTTTTTTTCTCAATTGAAGTTTTTCCTGAAGCTTCGGCAAATGCGGTACCTACACAGTGTGGGAGCGTGGTAAGATAAAAAACCATAAACCATATTGTTACGTGTCCCCCTTCGAATCATAATTCAATTGTCCATCATCTTGAAGATGACACGGAACCCCCTTGACATCGACTGTCTTTTGGAATAACTTGGATTGATTCATTCTCTTTGGAGATCTCTTCGACGACTCATCTTCTGTACCTAACCAATTAATAAACCGCCCCAACCATTTGAATATTGTGTCGTCTCCCTTTTTCACCGGTTACAACAATATAATTACGATAATTTTTTCCATTTTCTTCCGGGTATGGAATCGACTATCCATACCCTAAACATAACGGCTTCTTATTCGGATTCTTATTACGAAAAAGGAACATTATTATTTGTGCGAAAAGTCATGAGTAAAATAATCATTTTCGAACGGATTTGTCCTCAAAAACGTAAAACTGTAAAAATTCTCAATTCAGCATTTTCTGTGATATAGAATTTGATTTTCATCCCTTGATTATCGAGAATAACTGAGAAGATGTATTCCAAAATGTTCAACCAAAATAACTCGATTTTCTGATAGTAACGCAAAAAAAGATGAGAGAAAATCGACCCCTGCTTATGTCATTTTAGTTCTTTTTCATAATAGGTTTAGTTTTTTGTGCCTAGGGGTTAAAGTAATTCTGTCCTAGGTGTTATTTACACTAAGGATGTATGGATGCGGATGGATCAACCACAGATGAATGCGGGATTGTGTGCAGTGGTAATCTACCTAGTTTTTGACTTGAAAAAGAAAACAAATAATTTACAGAAGATTTTAGATCTTTTTGATCGTGGGAAAAGGTATATCGAACGTTGAAGGGCCGAAGGATTATGAATCGAGCAAAATAATGACAAGTTCTCGAAAGGATCAAACGTTGCAAGGGTCATACTTGGCGAGGGTCAAACGGCCACGAGAGTCAAGTGGCAGGGGCAACCAGAACAATCACCAAGATGAAATCGAAATCTTCTGATTATTTCGCGCGGTTTATAATTATTTATAATTAACCCTTGTAATTGTCCTGCTTGCCTCTCCCGGTTGATCCCTGTGGTCGTTTGACCAGGGGCGGTGGAACGTGAAAATTTGAGGTGTGGAGTAAATTTTTCTGGAATTACAAGGGTCACGAGGGTCAACCGGGATAGACGGGTGGGATTATCAGAAGGCTCAACTGGTCTTATTTTCCCTGGTTCCCCCTAATTATTTCAAAACATTGTAATACTTTTCACTCATTTTGTTTATTAATTAGCATATCAGACTTTGGAGGTGACATTGCAAACAGGCCTCTTCTTGTCTCCTTTCGTGAGATAAATACATTCAAAATTTTATCTAGCTCTAACTCAATCAGTCATTGAAAAAAAATACAGTTTTGATAAAATTGTAGAACAATTATTTTTCTTTCAATTTTTTTGAGATGTGGAATTCCATACTTCAAAAATTTTGAGGTATGGAGTGACCAATAAACTCCACTATGGCTCCGCCGCCCCTGCGTTTGACTCTGAGATTGTCCTGCCTGACATTATTGTTTGACCCTCCCAAGGTATGACTTTGGCCATATTTGCCCGCTGCAAGGCATGACCCTTGCGAGGTATGATCTTTGTTACGTTTGATCCTCGCAAGATATGGCCCTCTTGAGCATCGATTGTTACGTTTACTATAGTAAGAGGATATAATCAAAACGATCGGAAGAAGAAGATTGTTACGTTCAGCCACCTTTTTCATCATCTATATGTAAATTACAAATATTCTCCTACGTACCGCGAAAAAACCGGATTTTCAGCGAACATATCTGAGTGAACATATTCCCTTATAGGGGTAATTTATATGGAAGAAAAGCAAATAATCCGTACACTCAAATTATTTTCTCCCCTGGGTGACGAAAGTTGAAATCAGATCAAGGTAAAATACCCCAAGCAGAGGTTGATTTGTCCTTATCATTTTTTGTTTGAAAAGCATTTTTTACTGATGAATAAATCGAAAAATGCATCCCCTCCCACATTTTTTAGGATTGAGCAGCGAAAATTGCTGATTCTACTCAATTCATAGTAGGAAAATGTATACGTTGGATAGAAGGCATCGAAGGAACTTTCAAGATCTACGGAGGAAAATCATGTAGAACATATTTCTAATGCTATTGATCTTCTTGCCGTATGGAAATTTTCCTTTCTCGGAGTGGGCCTCCACCTGAGGGTCAAACGAGAGTGACGAGTACAACTATCCATAAAATCAAACGATCTCTTCTTTTTAACCCGTTTGAATCTCAGTATCGTTTTGCTCCGCAGTTCCGTTTGACTCTTCAGAAGGTTTGACCCATATGCTCATTCCGATTTGGTCACGAACATTTGACTCTTTCAATTACTCCGATCCTCCCTCTCGTTTTATCCCTGAGGACATTTGACCCTTGAGAACGACTTTCCATCCCCCCATTTGACTATTGAGAACGTTTGACTCTTCGTCGTTTGATCGTTGATGTTTGACCCTGCAAACTTTGTCTTGAACTCAATTTCGTCATTTGAACAAGTGGGCCGAGCACGCGCAAATCCCAAGCAAATAACACCCAGCGGCATGTAGCAGCGATAAGCGATAGATGAGCGTAGTTATAAGGTAGATACATTGTAAAAAATTTCTGCATGATTTTAGAGTACATGTGCAGGAAGATTGTTTCAGTGTACAGTACTATAAAATTATAGCGAATCAATTCGAGTACTGTACCCGAAATTTCTTATCCTGGTGAACAGAATTCAGATAACATGAGTGTCATAAATCTCTTACAGTCCTGCATGAATTTTCATGTACATGTATCAAAACATTATTCTCCAATAGTACCTTAATTTTTTCTTAGTTATTACTTTAATAACACGAATATGTAACTGATATTAGAATAACTAATCGAAAAAAACATGACCCATAGTTGCTTTGTATCTTTTCATCTTGCAGGCTATGTTAACTAATCGCATGTATGATTATTCAACTTAATACTATTTGAAAAACCCAATTATCTACCTAAGCGAGGCGCGAACCCATGCTCCTGAGGTTACTCAGAGCATGAATAGTCTCCATGAATAATCTATGAATAGTCTATTGATCATTCTCATTGTTTTGAAAGTCAACAACTAAGTCTCAGAAAGTTATGAAAACAAAATGAAGAATATAAAGTAATGTTTTTGGGGTACTGAAACCCAAATTTTGAATATTACTCTGTAGGGATTGTATCGAAATTTTCAATGTCCGAATTCATTTTTATTGTACTCTTGCACGAAAATTCATCATCCTACTATAATATTTTGTCGAACGCGTTCGAATGCCAATTCTATTCCCAAAAATATAATTTTTATGGATCATCGTGCACTAAAAATGTGATAATTTTAGTGTTTTTTAAATGTTATTTGAAATTTTTTACTTCAGGAAATCATTCCTAATGCATTTATTCTTTAATATTAGCACTGTACTCGATAATTAATGTACTTGTCGACAAAAATTAGGATCTTCATGATGATTTGTATACAGGATAGTATTTTTTCACTGAAGTTCATTAATTATACGTATCAGCACATGAAAATTATAGCACATTCTCATCAATTTATATTCGATAACAATGAAAATAAATTTGAGGTGCCTGGGTGTGGTAAAAGCATGTGAAAATTAAAGTTATTTTTTATAGTGATACGGTGAGTGTCAGAAGGCTGTCGCTAACGAATAGTATATAGATTTCTACCTTATAACGTAGTTGACGCAAATAATATTCTGCTCCTCGGCATTCTTTGAATTACAAACGACGGTAGCACAGGTTTGCAGCCACGTGTATCCACCACTCTTATTCATTAATCTGTAGTAATGCGTGAGGACTTGCCCTTTATTGATCACTGAAAAGTTACAATTTCATTGTTATTAAAAAAGTGAATAACAACCGTAAATGAAAACTAATATAATTCTAAACATGGAGCGAAGAGTTTTCCAGTCACGTTTCGGGGGAATATTCCTCGACTAGTAGTTTAAGGGGGAGGTAGAATGAGTTGAGTTTGTGGAAAGTTAATAAACTGAACAAAGAGGGAATGAAGGATAGAGAGGAAACTAGGTGTGGCGTTGGAGGGAAGGTATCAACTGGGGTACCTCCCTTTTGCCTCCTGTCGCCACCCACTTTTCGAAAAGCGTCGAGGGTAAAGAAGAAGACAAGGTAGATAGATCAGAGAGTGAAGGGAGAGGGCTATACGACGGAGAGACGGGTAACAACTACGGGTGGAGATGCCGCATCCGGCGTACTACTACGTTGCTTCCTGAATACCAACTAAGGACAATCCATGGTGGTCGTCAAGAACCCATACTATGCTTTCTCCTTCTCTTTTGTGGAGAGAAACGACGTGGTTTTATGACAAAAACGTTTACATAATATCACAAGGACATTTTCATAGATTTTTCATACTTTAATCTTTGTTTCGTCAAGCAGGAGAAATATGAACAATCAGTTTAATGATACTTACAATCGACGTGCGATTTTCTCAGACGATTCGCGTCTTCTCCATGACAGAGGGCATACAGACTCTTTCCGGTCAGCTCGTCAGCCGTATAATCTAATAATTCTGAAACTCTGCAGAAATTATGGAAATGTTACATTTGTCAATTGTTTAATTGTCTAGCTATGACACTTGTATTCAAAATATGACAAATAGTTTGTTTTTAGACTTGAATATTTCTCTAGCTTGATACTATTTTCATTTTCTGTTTCTATTTTTTCTCCAGATATCATCAAAAATATTGAAAAATGTGAGAAATGATGCATCGACTTACTTTGGTTCACAATGTGCTATCCGGAAATCAAAACTGATCCTAGTTACAAACATATCAGCCTCCAACCGAATCTCATGTACACTGGGTGGTGGCAAAGCAATGGCGATACCCACCATTCCCATCAGAGGTGGTGATGATTTTCTAGTATGACTGAATGGGTATTGCGGCCTCAGTCGACAGAGAAGTAAAACAACCTGCAGGAAATGAAGAAAATTGTGAATTAGGTCAATATCCCTTCAACTGGTACAATCAAGACACATTTATAGAGGGATGGTAAGGCCTCGTTAAGACAGGACCGTTGGTCATAACTTCGTTTAGTCAGAATTCGGGGAAGTCCCGTGGTGGATCGTTAGCAGGGTATTTCTCTTGTGGGGGAAAAAATATGAGGGTCGTTTCTAATGAAGGAACCAACGGAAATCCCCCGGTAAATGACACCTAATTGGCAATGCAGTATGGAATATTATAGTTATGATACTTACTCTGTATCCGGAAGACTTGAAATGACACCCTCTTTTAGTCAGTGTCGACTTCATTCTGACACAGAATGCTCTATCGTATCCTTTGTACAGACCGGTCGTAGTTAACGACATCACAGAGGAGACTGTAAAATAGGTGAATTAGACATTAAAAAATTGAATATTGTTGTGTTTAAAGAAGTAATAATTCGGGATCAATGAAAGGGGTGTATTTATTGACAGTTCTCGAACTGTAAAAAATTGGGTGTTAAATTGACACCTAACAGTGTCCCAAGAAGTCCCTACCGGATTAATTGAAGTTGTCCCACACATTAGAGAGAGACAATCAACCTTCTTTTTCTTTAAAAAAGAGGGGAAGAGGATAGATTAAATCATTCGATTCCGTAACAATATAATACAAGTTGTGACGTGTGAAGTTTTCGTCCTCCCTTAATAAATTCGCCTTTCGAGTTGAGGACTATGCCGACTAGTCTCGGTACGAGCTCACGGGTAGTTCGCCCATTTCGAGATGTTTAGGGGAGGATTGATAAGAGTTTCTTCTCAATAATTGAACATCAGTTAAAATCAGATTAATATAATTAACTGAGAATAATAATTGAATATAAAAGCAAACTGATAATGGGTTCGGTATGGTGCGCGGTGCTAAGATTTTTGGCGAGGAGTGGACATACGTTCAAGTCCAACTCCTCCCGTACTCTGTCTTACCGAGGGACCTCAAAGACGCTTCAGTCCCTAAAATATTTAGAGAACCTTCTCACGGTTTTGTACGACTAAGACTGTTGGCATTGTCATTGGCAATGCCCCAAGACAGTCAAACGTCTTCCTTTCAGAAGTTGGACTCTTGTAATACCCGCGAGAATGCTTACCTGGCGGATGATGCTCGGTTTTAAAACATTCTTTGAGTTGAAAATATTACAACAATGTTTAATCCAACGTAGGTCAGACACCACATGTCACAAAGTTGTCATGAAGAATACTTATTGATGTGATCATGTGATTCAAAGTGTGTAGATAGAAAGAATGTATGTGACTTCGGCACTACTAAGCAGTTACGATAATGAGTTCATTCATTTGTTCAAAGAATGGGGATAGCATTTGGGATGATTACGGGTGTGTCGTACAGAAATGCATTCACGAATTTGCCAGGAGGAAACGTGTCCATGTGAGAACATGTCGACGGACGTGTCCAGAGGTCTCCGCAGGGCTCCTTCTCATCGTCATGAGGTCGTCGTCCGAATGCAGAGTACGATATACGGACTATGGGTTTCTTCAAACCAGCGCGGAAAAGAGAAAGAGAGAGGTTTCCGAATAGTAGTGAGAAAGGTGAAGAGCAGAGAAACGGAAAGGGGAGGGGGGAAGTTATACGTGCCAGGAGGTGTAGCCATCGTGGAATAACAATTGGGGAAATCGTTGGAGGGCTGCATACGTATGCGAGACGAAAACTAGGTAGGGAATAGTATTGAAGAAAGACAGAATGAAGTCCAGACTCAGGACGACCGTGAACCCCACCAACGTTAGACGTTTAGAGTTCCCGCACTAAGCTACCACGTCTATGAGGTTATGTTTTCAACGTAGCCTCAAAGCGCCCTCTAGAATACGTTCTCCTAACCTCTTTTGCAACCCCTGTCACGACTGGCCCATACCCTTATGCTCTCTTTTTTGTTCCTCCCTTCTGTCTCTTTCTCCCTTACTCTTTCTACCATGTAACACCACGTGGTGGCACCGACGGGCACGTCCCGCACGTCCGATGGTTTCTCATCCAGTCCACGTGATCATACCACAACCCCGTCGATCTGCACGTTCTAACTTGCGGGACTCGTCCTCGCGTGGCTTTTGGGCGTGACCGAGGCACGCTTTCCGGGTTACGCGTTCATTCAGGTTGTTCTCAACTGGCCTGGAATTGTGTCTGGACCACTGGGGTACATCACGTACCACGGGATCACGGTTTCATGAAGCTTTCGTCGTAATGTTGAATGAAGAAACACGTTCTTTGGTTCAAAGAGGGGCGCGTGAAGAGTTCGGGTAATGCTTCAAGAGTGGAGAATTCTTCTCAGCTAGTAGTGACGGAAGAAGCAATAGTTAAAAGCCAAGAGGCACATTTGTTTGGCAATTTTTCATTTCGACATTTTACGGAAATCAATTTTCTTCAAGACATTGCTATTCAGCGCTAAGGAATTTTTTCCCGATCAATTCCAAGTTATATAGACACACTTTGGATCCCCATTTTTAGTCGAAACGGAAACAGTAGACCAGTTTCGTCGGCAACCGGAAGAACTCATCCATTGAATACTCCAAGACTGCCGTAACTCTATTTGGAAGTCTAAGGCGTGCATAATTGAGTAAAATAAGTTGAAGTTACTTACCATCAGGATTTGCGGTAGAAGTAGAACCGTGCTCCTCAGAAGCAGCACTGCTGGGCGACGCCAGACCAGAACTTGAGGAGTGTGGACCAGATGAGGAACCCGTGGAAGTCAGACCTAAACCAAGTTGCTCAGCAACCTCGGCATGGTCCTGCTGGTGGACATAGTCGAAGACGCTTGATCCCGTCATCTCCACCTGCGCACAAGAAATGATTCAAGTGGTTAGTAACCAAATCCCTCAATGATCGCCCATAAAAACATAAATTGTGGACGCTTGAAATGTAGAGTATCCATCGACCCAGAAGTTGGCGTCAGTCGTCGCATGTTTAATGACAATGCCAATTGGAACGTCTCCTTGCATAGAATACCATATGTTCCATATGTTCTTGGTATTGACCACGTGAAAGTCAAGACTTGGATTGAAGTCAAATGCGTATGACAAATCGATAAACTTAAGCATTCGATGCTCGTTTTTAACAGTTGTGTAACTCATCAGGTAGTATGTTTTGCTTTTTTCTTATTTCTTTCAAGTGCATAGTGTCACTGTCTGGATAGCGTTGGTTTTGGTTGATAGGTTTGAAGTGTAGAAGGTGTCGTCGCCTCTTTGGAATAAATTAGCTGACTGTCTATATGGCGTCGTTGGAGTAGATGAGGAGGAAGGCGGGGTGGGGCAAGAGGTAGAGGTTTATAGATTCGGTATCGAAGTTGTACGTGTCGCGGATACGAGCAACGATTAACCGGGCGAATAGACTTTGCCTCGTTTGGTATTGTCCTCGCGTCCGACGGTCGACGCTGAGCCTTCGGGGAATCGATGAGCACGAGGCCGACAAATAACACCATCTGTATATGTATACACCTTTCGGCTTTCCATGGGCTTCGCTTTTCCGTACCCTGTTACATTTTAATGTCGAGGCCCACAGTTTGACTCGTGCGAATTGGTTCCATGCTGATTCTCTTTGGTCCCTCTCTGGTTTCTATCAACGAATTTAAATTGCAGCGCAAAAAGTGATTTCCTTCATTGAAAATGCAAATATTTGCAGGAAATAGGTTGGTTTGAATTTCCAAGTGACCTCGCTCATTCCTCCAGCTATTTTGCAAAGAGTAGTTGTAGTAATTTATGAGAAAGATCATTTGTTTCTTTCAAATGAGCAAACGATCTTCAGAATAACAAATCGCCTCAACCTGCTACCGTTGCGGCCTCCTTTCCCCCTGGTAGTCTGAAAGATCCATCCGTCACAGCTATCGTTCCTGAATGTCACTGAAAACCCAAAAACATCAGAGCCATATCCATCAAGATTCTTCATAAATCTATCAGGGAACTTGAGTCGTCAGCTACGGAAATGATTCTCCACATGTGCATCGCAAAGTCCTCTTGCAAGCACCACATATATATGGACCTCTTCCTTCCTCCCGCCCCTGAAATACCCTATTGATTGCCCCAGGGTTTCGTACAGGAGACTCCAGAGTGTACCCCGTCAGTCTCTCTCCAGCTCCCCGGCTTCGTCGAGGCCAAACTAACCCCTCACCCCTTTTTCTATCCACCCCCCCCCCCCCCC